TAGAGTTGCTTCACTAAGGGGAGACGATCCGTTCGGTCTCCATCGGATACGATGTGACCTCCTGCTGGAACGAGGCACATGAGGGAGATCAGGGTGCACATCGGCTCGGATGCCACACTGACTAGACTCTCGTTTCTTCTCATTTTTTAGACTTTTTACGCCAAAGGTGCAAACCATGCGGAATCGCCATTCTCCAGGTGGAGACCTTGTTGGACCGTCACTTGGCCTATTGCGACGCCCATTTCTGTGGCCACCCCGACGTGGGACTGAGACCGGGGCCGCAGGCGCAGTCTGCTCGAAGTGACCGGCGCTGTTCTACACGGTCAAACTCTTCAGTTGACACTTCGAAAGCTGAAGAAGTATCCAGTTGTGCACGTCAGGGGAGTCAACTCTTGATTTGTGCACATGTTTCTTTCCTAATATAGTAACAAGAAGCTATTAGTAGCTCCTGGCATTACTACTAAGAACAAGAAGCTACTAGTAGCAAGGGCATCGCTACTAGTAACAAGAAGCTATTAGTAGCGCCTCCGCTGCAGGGAGGTGCCGCGGAAGAAGAAATCTTGGGCCCGTTGGCAATGAGACGAAACATGGAGGAGGCGAGGATGGTGTCCAAAGCTGTCCAATGATGAACCGAGGCTTTGCAGTTCACAATAAAACCGAACAAAGCCATATTGGCAGAAGTATCAGCATGCAAATTGCATTTTGAATGAATGGGCAGATTCGGTATTTGTCATGGAGGTCAAGAGATTTTAGGTTGGTCTTCATCCTTCAGGTGATTAGATTAGCCAGCAAGTACATTTTGTGACCAAAGTCACTAGAGATGAATTCCTTAATGCAAAGTCACTGCTGTTTGCATCCCAACTTCTCGACTGGACAGGACAGCCAGTGGGTCCAAGACTGGTTCAGGCTCGCCAACAAGAAATCAGAGATGAGTCAGAGATGAGCGAATGTGACATGTGGGTGGTTTGGATACAACGGAGGAATATGGAAGAATGCTGCTGCGGCACTTCCAAGTTCCCTTATGGTTTACGTAAACCAGTGGACCAGCGCAATTCTTTTTGGTTTGAGAATTCGGATTTTTCATTTCATGAACAGTCATCAGGACACTGCTCTTCACTAGCATACAACCATGTATACAAGCATATGACTACAGGGTTGTTGGCCTTATGGGAAAGGACCTCCTCTATGGGCTTTGCCAGCTGCTGTCACAGGCCCAACTCTTCGAAGGAGATGAAAGGCTCAGGCTCCATCTGTTCTCCGGACAAGAACGGGTCGGTGTTTATAGGAATCGCTTTGATTATGTGACATTGTCCTTGGATCCTTTTCATGACTCTAGGCCGAAAGAAATAAAGATCAGCTGATGGAAAGGAAACAGATTCAACTCCTGGTTTGGCGTTTGTGTTGGCAAAGAAACCTAATAAACTGATAGACATACCTAGCACCCAGGTCTTTGGAGCTCCACATCCTCACCTCGACCGCGACCTCGATGCGCCAGGCTTTGCTTGGGCGGTCTTCAGCAGCCACCGAGACCGCGATGAGGCGATCCACAAGATGTTGGCTCTGGAGAAAGATCGACGAGGCCCGGGGGCATGAGTGCCCGTGAGGAGTAGCTGGGAGTAGCTTAGCTACGTGTTTGGACAAGTGAGTAGGCAGATCTGTAGCTTAAGTAGTTACATGTAGCTACTACAGTAGCTAAGTAGCTGCTACCTTCCTTGAAGTCTGAGCCTTACAGATTTGATTCCTCACAAAGCGGTTGTCGCGCAGATGGTTTCGAGACGCCGACGAAGACGGAGTTGTTTTGTTTTCTCGTGGTCGTCGTTATTCACGGGAGAACCTGCTTGACAAAGAACATCAAAGAACAGTTGAACAGTCTAAGCAGTCTAAGTCTAAAGTCGAGAGAAGCTGAGGAGTGATTCACATGTTGTATCGATGGACAGCCGAGGGTTTGCGGGCCCGCTGCTGAGGCATCCACTGGCGGGATCCTGACGGCACTTGCTATCCATTGGACTTTGGAATTCCGCAGATTGGCCGATGTGAACAGTTTTTTGGGTTGACCGATCTTAGACATGAAAAACTGTTTGAGTTGGATGTTTGTCTTGCAAGATATGCAAGGATGGGATGTCCCTGCCAATAGCTTGGGTGTGAGGCGTTGCGAGCCCACCAACGTGCGCTGGGATCACCTGGGCCTTGGGCTGTGCTCAAGGCGCTTGCGCTTCTTGGGCGTTCCTTTGGCCCAGAAAGCTAAGCATTCTGCGCACTAGGAACAAGTGCATCGCTTCTAGTAACAAGTGCCTTACTACTAGTAGCAAGTGCCTTACTAGTAGTAACAAGAAGCTACTAGGGGCTCCTGGCCTTACTACTAGGAAGAAGGACGCTACTAGGAGCAAAGGGCATCGCTAATAATCTATCTATTGTACATCATGCTTGTCCTTTGATGATGGAAGGATACCTGCTACATAACCATACAAAGAATTGAATTAGCAAAAAGACATTGCATGCAGACCATGTTCCAAGACACATGTTTCTGCAATGATGCAGAGTCAGAAGATGTGAGAATCATGACCATGTATTGATTCTTTTGGGGGTGGAATTCGTTGTACGTACTTCTAAGATACCTGGGATGGTGGATGATTGGGTTTGCTTGGTCTATCAACAGTGGTAGGCCGTGTGATAATTCGACAAGGGTCGGTGAACATGATAAAGTAACTGCTACCCTGCCCACAAAATAAATTTTGCCACCCTTTGGTTTGTCTCAACCAAGGCAGTGCTTATTTGGTCCATGGCCGCAGCTGGGTTGGCCTTCTTCGTTTATGTGCCCTATGCTGAGTACGTCACCGGCTTCCTCAACGAGGTGAGAAGATAGGCGGAAAATCAAGATAGAAACACATACAGACGTCTATAGCGGAGATTTATGACGAGGGATGAGCGGTGAACATCCAGAAGGCGGTGGGAGGACTTGTTCACACTGCAATGTCGGCTATGCACCTGCAAAACAGTGAGATTCATGCCAAACCTCCACAAACCAGTTTGTGAGGTTAACTCAGGGTGTGGTGGTTCAGTCGGTCCAGTCTCCAGCCTTCCAGCATTGTTTGCTTCAAGCACCTGTCAGGCGGGGAAGTTCCCCCAGGGCTTCATGATGGGCTTGCTGAGCTTCCTCATTGGTCTCACATGGTGGGCCATGTGCATGATGATAGGCGAGCATTCTGGCTTGTCCGTTAGGAAGATGGGAGTTGCTCAGTTATGAGAGTCACGATAGTATTATGAAAGCAAGTCTTCCAGTATTTTACAGGCGATACAGGAAGATTTGCTGTGAAACTTACAGACCGATGCTTTGTTGAAAAGGAGCGATGTCCGCCGCGAGGCACTTGCGTGAACATTGCGGGGTTTCAGACGATTGAAGATGAGAACCTGTTCATCTTCATTTTCTTCACCATCTTTTGCGTGGCGAGACGAGAGGGATCGCGAGGGTGCAGTCAATATTTGTTGCCATTTGTTCCATTTGTGTGTTCGAGGGTATGGAGTTTGTGAGTCTTCTTGCAGAGTGTTGAGGGGCCATTCTGGGCATTTGCAGATCATTGGACAGCTGCTATGCTACCTTGAGGTTGCTGCATCTGCCTTCAATGTATACCTCACCTGGTACTACACTCAGGAGCAGCTCCCCTTGAAGTCATCGGACTGGCGAGAGTGAAAACTCTGTGGTGTCATTCCGCACCTGTTTCCGCACCAGGACTTGTGGCAACATCACACCAGCAGCTGGTTCGAGAGCATTGAAGGCTCAGCACCGGGCACCTGAGATGATCGTTCTCGCATACTGTTTGTCTAGTGCCTTCGTAGACTTACGGGGGATTACTTCTAGTCAGTTTGCTTTTATTGCGATATTTAAACAATTCCATGTTTGAGTTGGTCTCCCTTTTGGTTTCTCTAAGTTGTGAGGGGGGGTTGGGGGGCCGACCATGAAATTCCCTACAACCAGACTGTTTTATCCACTGATTTAGGGGCAATCTGTGGTTTGGGACGTAAAAAGGCAGGATGGTCACAATGCGTCTTGCTCCTAGTAGTAAGGCCAGGAGCCCCTAGTAGCTTCTTGTTACTAGTAGCGATGCCCTTTGCTCCTAGTAGCGTCCTTGTTCCAGTTGCATCCCGTTCCACAGAGCTGTGATGATCTGTCTATTCTGGTTCCATGTGCTTTGCCTGACAGGGAGTTTGCTGACAACAGGAGGTCCGGTCACAACGCTGAGGGACCTCCGGATGCTCGGAGAATAACAATTGTGCCATATTTTGCCCGACGTATACGCTTCAACCTTGTTGACATGCGGGTAGATACTGTACAAGCGTTTTGTAGATAACTTCCCTGTTGGTGATGACAAGGGACAGGAGATGCCAAGAGACAGCAGAGACTCTACTACATTCGCATCTTTGTGATTCAATGCCGTGACATGACGTGGCGCGCCAGACCGAAGTTCCTCATCGTCCCTCAGATTCCTGCGGCCTCTCTATCCTTTAGAACCGAATGTGGAGTCCAAAAAACAAGAGGCCATTTCGGGCATGTGTCAACCACAGATTTGAATGCGCCTCTGGAGGAAACTGAATAACACCCCTTGTCAATCGCTGACGGCTGAGGAAAGAAATTGACCTCGGCTTTCGTGTCATGGCTGGGAGGGTTTTGCGGTACAGTCGGGTACAGTTGAGTACCTTCCTCAAGTTTACAGTCCCTCTTGGAGGAACCATGGGAAAGCACTTTTTTCTCCTTTCTTCAATCTTGCACAAATGAAGACACCTACAGTATAGAGGGGGAGAGAAACAAGCATGTGTATTGATCACGCTTTGAGTTTTAACGCTTGTTTGACACTCATTTGCTGCGTTGCATTGATCTTTGTTCCTCGTGCCCGAACCTTGCCAGATACAAGATGGGAGCGACGGGAATCAAAGCACAAACATTTGTAATTTATCATGTATGCGCTGTGGTACTTCAAACCCTACGACCCTTTATTCCTTTTTCTTCTTTGTTTCTAAGAGCGATGGCCTCCTACCTACAAGCGATTGCCTCGAACGTTCATGTTTGTTTTTTTTGGGGGGTCGATGTTTGGACCACAAACATGCAGTGACAAAAGGTAGTAGTGAACTCAAGAGTAGAGCTTGGCTCCAAGCTTTGTTCTCAAGCAATACCTCATTAATGCCAGGAGTCCTCATTGAAGACGCCAAAACAGCTTTGCTTTTAAATTGTGAGATAGACATCATGGTTGCCCCCCAGTGCTGAGGTGTCTTCCAGGTGTTGGTACCTGGAGTGCTCTTCACCCCCTGTTTGTTGAGTCCGCTGAACAACTTTCTGTGCCTTGGTGTACATCAATGTCCAGGGCAAGCAGGGGTCAATAGAGGAAATGAGGTGGACAGCGGGGTTGAAGAGAGCCAGGTAAGGGAGAGGCTCGTTCATTCGTTCATTGACCTGTGGGGACAGCATGTGGAAAGTCAATGAAAGTCACCGATGTGTTCATGACTCTTTTGCGCATGTTCTAAGGTTGAGAACCAGATCCACCGTTAAGGATATCCACCTTGTCACCTCTTGACCTGCGGAAGTGAGACTTGAGACTCAGCTCACTCCGAAGACAAAACCGTGCTAGCCTGGTCCCGACGTTCTCCCGCAGGATCCCATACTTCAGGGAGTCAGCGCTTTTGGTGCTCTTTGGCCAAGGCATGGGCGTCCCATCTTGTTTTTGCAATGTTACATTCTACTTGAATTCTAAATGTATGTCTTGTTCCTAGTAGTATGGCCAGGAGCCCTAGTAGCTTCTTGTTCCTAGTAGAGAGAACGAGGAAAATGTTGGAAACTAAACATTGGTGTTTGAACATTTTGGGCAGATGGGCGTGCTCTGACCAGCTGGATCACTCGTCTTTTTAGCAAGACCATCTTGAAAGTACCCGCATATGGAGCCTAACCTAGGCGGACTCTACGGGGTGTTTCGAATCGGCGACAAAAAGCAACAGAAGACCAGTGCCTACAGGTAGTGCCACGGACAAGTTCGGGTGCTTCTCGTGAGGCAAAAGCGGACGAGAAGCTGAGCGCTTCCTGGAACCACTGCCCATCGGTTGCTCGGTCGTTGTCGGTTTGCTCTTGAGTATGGACTGATGTCATGTGTTTTACCTGTGCCTTTGTCTCACACGTGTTTGTTTGAGTCTCATCACATGAGGCTTAGCGTGGGACTACCAGGGTCATGTGACGCTTCCATGCTGTCGCTTGGCCTTCAAGCAATGAAGGTTCTGTGGCCGGTGCAGCAAGTCTTTGGTTTTCTGCCAGAAACGCTGAAGGCGCTAAAGAAAGGACATGACATTGCCTTCGTTAGCAGGGACTTGGCCGTGCACACACACAGACACAGGGTTCACCATGTTTCACCCATAGTTTGCGCGAGATCCAGGGAGTTCTATCTGAAATCTTAAGATTTGCCAAGTAGTGATGACTGCAGTAGAGGAGGTCAGGGACTGATTCAGCTGTTTGTATTGGGATCCATCATGCTGAACTGTTTGGCGGCAGGGTAAATGCCTATGGCGTTCGTTGATGCCTGTGGACACGGACTTTGTCTCTTTTCAGAAAGAGCCTGAGGTTGTTGCCTTACTCTCTTCATCATGTCCCCTTCCATGTGGTGGGCACAGGCATACCTATGCTTCTTGGTTTGCACACCAGAAAATGAAGAAGACCGAGCGAAAGCCTAGGGTTGTTGATACCATGGTATGGACCCCATCATTGAGACTATGAGCACATCAAGTATCTTCAAGACTTTCTGTGGCCTCGAACGTCAGTGCCCTTTACCATTTTGACGGTGCGGCTGCACTTCAGAAAACAGTTTGTTTTTGTCTTTTAACATGACGTGTGCTATGCAATGTTACCAGAACGCCATGGCTTGGGTGTCTCTGTTTTCAGCATATCAAACCAAATCACGAAAAAACTGCAGGCGAACATCCTTGAAGATGATCTTCCGCATGATGAAATCGCAGTGGCCAATATCGACGTGGACATGTTCGAAACCATTTTGGCTGCATTGACAAAAGTGGCACCGCGAATGGTGCTTGGAGGTGTGATCCTCCTGGAAGATGCAACTTAGCAGATCTGAAGCAAAATAAGGCAAATAGGATACAAAAGGTATAAAGGTCATAAAAGGTCCAAGTGGGCCTCAAATCCAGTGTTGTACTGGCGTTGGACTGACAGCGCTGGATTTCTCCCCTGTTTATACAGAGTCCTGTTGGCTACGCATGTGATATAGTGAAGCCAAATCTGACCGGCTCGCGTTTCCTGAGTGCAAATCACAGAGTGGATTCTGACATTGGGTTTTGGGATGTATTGGGGCTGGTTTTAGATTGGCCCTCAAAAACAAGCTTCGGAGTGATGTTTTCAATATGGCCGTGCTACAGTCTGCAATCGCACGTCATGACCTGAACAAATCCATGTAGCTCCCCAAAGACACAGAGTCCGTGTCCAGCAAGGTGACAGCGACTCCTTTGCTGGGAGGGGCTCTAGCAGCGTTGGATCTCTTCCTTGAGCCAGCGGCTGAAGATAGAACACAGCATCGATGAGCATCTCAGAGATTTGCGAAGGTTATCATCAAACGTTCAAGGTTTTGCATCCATTTCCATACATCAGAGATCTTCCACATTGACTGATTTCGGTTCTTTAAAAGCATGTTTCTTTGTGGTGTAAAGTCCAAGGTCTGAATCTGGTCTCGACTTCACCAAAGTGTTGACGCGGGGAGGAGCGTTGTTGATACGTGTGAAGAGACAAACACCGTGAGCTGCGGGAAAAATCGGGACAGCATCGATTTAGACTACTTCAAATTGATTCAACTTGCAATTTTGCAACTCTTTTTGATGCCATGGATGTTTTGGTGTTTGGCGAAACGAAAAAACCCAGTTCAACGCTCCGCAAGAGCAGTCCAAAACTGTCCCCATGATCCCCAATGAAACCGAGAGCGTTTCGCTGAGGCTTCAGTGAGAACTGATAGGGAACTTTCAGCAGCGGACTCAGAGATGCATGGGATGTTGGTGCCCTGGAAAACAGTGAACGTGTTCTTGACGAAGCAGCTGAATCGAAACGGAAACACAAGATACAACTCCAAACGGTGAGGACTTTGCAGCTGGAGTGTCTAGGTTCATGCTATTTCATGCTCATGTAGGACCTATACTGCCATGATACCCGACACCTCTCAACAGAGCGACCCCTAACATAACAGACCGCGCGCGCAGAGCCTTTTAAGCGACGCCGAGGTGATTTGACATGACCGGTGACCTTTGTCGCCCTGTGACAGTCGCAATCGCAGTTTGGATCGCAGTTGCAGTCGCACAACCCGTTGCGTTTTTGTTGGATGGCAGCGGTTTTCCGATTTTTTGGCAGCCGCAAAAAGGACTTTTATTCAGCCCCAAGGAGACCTACGATGTTGCAGATGTCTCTGATGATCTCAGCAAGTCGTTTCCTCCGGACAATGAGCCGGTGGGCCGTTCGCCGAAAGTCATTGGCATCCATGCTGGACATGATGCAAGTATTGCCATTGGTGTTGGAGGTCGGGTGCAATGTGTTCTTGAGCTGGAACGGCTCTTTGAGGAAAGATATTTTTACCTTGGTGGAGGGAGCCTTGCTGACAGCGATGCCGATTACGTTCAGACTTGGGTACTTGCCGTGAAAATGGTTCTGGAAAACTGTGAATGCGATTCTGGAAACTGCCCGGAAGCTTTGATTACGCGGTGGTGGACAATTTTGAGCATCGTGAATTTGATCTGCTAAAGCAAGCGATTGAGCCTTTGCTGGGTTCAGTAACTTGGCGCTTCACAAACCATCACCTTTCGCATGCTTTGTTGGGATTCTATGCTTCACCCTTTCGATCAGCAATCATTATGTCATACGATGCTGGTGGCAATGACGGGGTTTTGAACTTCTATTTAGGCTTCGGATTGGATGTGAAGCTCCTTTTGAGACTGCCAGTGAATATGGGCATGCCATACAATCTTATTGCTCTTCTACTTCCAGAGGTCACAGGAGTCAAGAGTTCCTCAATACTTTGTTCAGATAAAGACATCTCTCCATACACGTTTCAACAGACTGCTGCAGCGATCCATGACCTCCCAGACCGGCTGGATGTTGTCGGTAGGGTGACCCACAGCTATGCAGGGAAGTTCATGGGTTACTCTGCATTGGCAGAACCCCAGCCCGAAGTGCAGTTTTGGGCCAGACAATACATCCGCAGTTATCTTCAAAACGAGACCGCTATGAGTGAGGCATTCTCTTGGCTTCGGGAATTTTCATGCTCCGGCACAGAGGCCCAACGAATTTTGGCTGCCTCTGCTCAACATGAATGGACCGCTTACGTGGAAGAGCTCCTTGGGAAAACACTGCTGAGTACGACGGCGATACTTGGACAACCTTTGGATGGCATTGTGCTGACAGGAGGCTGTGCCTTGAATGTTCTGGCGAATCAGCGCATCTATGAAACATTCACTCAGAAGCCTGCGTCTAATCCCAACCTTCCACGGTCGTTCTACGTTCCACCGGCAAGCAATGATGGGGGCATTGTGATTGGCTCTGTTTGGTCTGTCATGCCACCATTGGCCCCGCAATCCCTGCAATACCTGGGGTTTCCTCTCTTTGACGCCTTTGCTTTGGATGAAGCTGCCAGTAGTCGTCAGGCACGGAGTTTGACGGAGCTTGGTGGGGTGGAATACTTGGCAGACTTGTTGGCCGGAGGCGAGTCCTGGAAAAATGAAAGCAAAGATGTGAGTCGGAGTCGGAGCAAGCCCATCATAGCTGTTGTAATTGGCCGACAAGAAGTTGGACCAAGAGCTTTAGGTCATCGATCCTTGCTGGCCGTCCCTGATCATGACATCAAGGATCGCATGAATCGATTAAAAGCGAGGCAGTCCTATCGGCCCGTGGCACCAATGATTGCGGAAGAAGCATTGGAGGAGGTTTTTGGTCAACGAATCAAGTCTCCCTACATGACAATGGCACCACTGGTCAGGGAAAGTGTTCGGGAGCGTTTCCCGGCTCTAGCCCATGTGGATGGCACTGCCCGACATCAGTCTGTTGGAGCTGAGGACGAACCCTGGATTCATGCACTTCTCCTGGCTATTGGGAAGAAGACAGGTTTGGCTGCATTGATCAATACGAGTTTCAATTCAAAAGGTAAACCCATTGTCAACACGGTGAGAGAATCCCTCAAGATGCTGGATGACCTTCCGGATTTGGATTTTGTGTTGATAGAGGATTGGCTCTTCAAAAAGGCGCTCTTCAACTCTTCTGTGTTTTATGATCTTGAAGTGCTTAGAACTTGGAACCTGAAGTCAGACAAGACACCCGTCCATTTGATTTCTTTGGTTTGTTTGCCGAGCTTCAACATGCTTCAATGGTGTATTTCTTTTGGCTCAGACAGCGGACCCTACGCACAGTGCACATCAGTGCACCATCCTCGTCAACGTCGAAATGCTCTGAATTGCAGTCTGAACGCAGAAAGATCCTACAACTCGTAAGAGCACTGGAGAAACAAAGAGAGAACAGAATAATGTGTTGTATTGTTTTGGTGTGATGTGAACGAAACTCATATCACCATCGTGAGAAATTGTCCCTCCTGACACGTACTGCTTCATCTGAACCAGGGACAAAGTGACAAAATAGAACATGAGTCAAACAAGTCAGTTGAAGGGACAGGGTGTCGCAGCAGATTCCGAAGAAACTTCGACCGTTTGCTTGCCAGGAGTGGGTCCCTGACATTGTTCTTTCAGTAAATACTGTCCTCTTAAGTGTCTTCGCTCTTTGTGGTGCATAGTGCGCACTGTTGTTATTTGCTTCTGCACGGACCAGTGGTGAATTTCATTATGTAGGGGCAGCAGACACACCACTCTCAGACGAGGGAACTTGCTGTAGGGCAAGGTCGGGCCGAAACCGCTGTGGAAAGCTACCTGTGAGGCACATCGAGGCATGGCGATGTTCGTGGTGGCATGGCCGTCTGCTGAGATTCCAGGTGGATTTTCGAGCCCAACTGTGCAAGGTGCTAAATGCTGCGAAAGATACTGTTGAACATGTGGTATTTTCCAGCAAGTCTTTTCCTAAACGCCAGCTAATTTTTGGTTGCAAGGGAGGCTAAACAGAGGCCCCGTTCCCGTGTTGGCTTCTCCTAAGCTAGATTCAGCTAGATCTTTTTCCCCATTGTCTAGCTGACATCAGGCCGAGCATGGCATGGTTGGCCCATGCCCTAGTGTGCCGGCTTTCAGCTTTTCTGGCAGCATACACCGGAGCATTGCTTGCACCTTCTGTTTGCGTGGCATGTGCTCCTCACTCAGATAGCCATCTGATCCCGCTGCTTCTCTGTGGTCACCACTGGCACATGGCAGCGCGTTTGGCTCGAGTCACAAACCCGATCCTAATCGCTTTCTCCAGCATAATGAAGAGGTCAGCCAGTCGTGTCAAAAACCCTGGTTGGTTCTTGGTTCATTTTTCCGCCCAACCCCAATCCCTGACAATTCCCAGTTCCAAATGAACATGTGACATGTCTCGTTTTCTTTTGGGAGAGCTGTGATGCCAGGTCCATGATGTCCTGGGTGTTCTTGTGGGCCTTCGCCCACGCAATGAAGCTACATGTAGACCTGGAGTCCGATGCCAAGCTGAATATCAGCCGACTGAGGGAGATGACCTGTGAAGAGGCCGCCCCGGCCTTTGTGAAGGGCTTGGCAAAGGAGTTGAACAAAGGCCATGGCTACGACTCCATGTTCTACAAGGGTTGTTTGAAATTCGTCCAGCGCAACGCCAATGCCAGCATTCCCGTGATCTCTCAGATCGAGAAGTTTGGCACGGTTTGCAAGCAGGGTCGCTTTGTGGAAAATGAAACGGTGCTTGCGAAGGCCATGTGTCCAACAAACTTAATTCAAGGATGTTCAAGGTTACCTGGAAACAAAAACCCATCACAGAAATTTGCCATCGGAATGGCTTCAACCTCGGGTTCTCCATGGTTCTCCCAAAAAGCTTGGAGCCTATTGCCTATTGACAACAAACCCGCCGTAGCTATACCAGTTTACTATTTTTATTTTCATGTGCCAAAAGCATGGCAGAATGTCATATGCCATGATGGTCCAGTTTTCGGCCAGGTTGACCCCACTCGCTTGGCAGCGGAATGCGACCGTGTGGTGTACAATATGGACGTCCAGTTCCGGCTGTTGGGTGGTCGTTCCCTCTCAACGCCCGAGGGCTTCTGTGCCGTGATGATTGACATGGTCATGCCCATTGATCAGGAACCTGAGTGCATGCGCTTGCTTGAGGATATCGTCCATGCCCATTTCGAGTTCATTGGGACCAAGCACTTTTGGCCCGACATCATCCATGAAAACCATTTCGACCAAGCCTTCATGACTGCCTGCTTGGAAGACAAGAAGCTGAGCACGGAAGCCAAAGGCCGAGACGCTGAGTTTGGAGTTGGAGCTGATGAATGCAAGTTGAGCTTGGAAAAGTTGATGGCAGTGGATCTCTCGAACGCTACCAAAATGCCTGTGTTCCTCGCAGATGTTTGTCCTTTGATCGGAAAACCTTTGCCTGCCTTGTCAGAGCCTCCCAAGCCCACCTACGTGAGCACCACCAGAGCCCTGACCGCAGCCATGTTTCAGAGAGCTGCTCACCTCACTCACTTGAGAGCCGGAAACTCTTCCACCAGCAATCTAAGTTGGGGCATTTGGG